ACATTGCAACAATATTAGTACTTTTTAGATATCCCATGCTTTTTGTATAAATATCTTTAAAGACTATTTTACAGAACCATCTGTGACAACTTTATGCTTTATGTCATTTTTTGGAATTAGAGTTGCATTTGCATTACTTCAACTTTGTGCAGAAGTCACAAAATTAACTTTTTCGTAAACTTACTTTGAAATGTACATATTTCTTGGACCTTTGTCATCCTTTTCTGTTTTTTGTTTGTTTTTTTTTTCTGCTAAGACACATTGGTCCAATCTTAAGATTGCACTAGTACTTTGAAAGTAAGATCTTTAATTCAAAATCCCTAGGCTTGTCTTATTAGCATAGTTACTTCATTGTTAGGAAAGCCCTACTAAGGCGCTTTGTTGGCCTGGTCTCAGATCATGATCAGATCATGATGTCTCTTCTGGTTTTATTCTTCTGATAGAACAGTTGGCTTGTTTCTAATGCCTTATTTAGCCAGATGTCGAACATTTCATTATTTTGATTTTTGTGAAATACCCTATGTAATTTAATTTATTATGATTCTTAGTAATGGAGCAGAGAAACAACAAACATAGGAACTAGAGAGAACACTTTCTTTTCCTTGTATCTTCCCCAGCGTCTTGCTCAGCAGCTCCAGCTCTGCTGTGACACCCCAGAATGTATCATTTTGAAATGTCGCAGCTGCCACTAAGTCATGTGGGAGAAAGGAGCTGGCTGGTAGAGAAAGACGCAGGTCAGTGATGGTTTTTCATTTTGGCATGAAATTTTGAAAAGTGGCATTCTTATTTTATGTCCAAACAGGTTTTGAAAGTTAGGCTGTGATCTCTGGGCTTAGGGTGTCCTAGATTGTCATAAATTAGCTAGTCTGGTGGCACAGTCATAGAATGGGTGTTTGAGGAACATACTTTGGGGACGGTGGTGTGATATAGAGCAGATTCCTGTTCAGGAAGAAGTTGGACTAAATGACCTGAAGGAAGCATTTTTTCTTTGGAGATACTTAGCAATAGAGTGATTTGTTTTACAAACAAACTTTTGCAGGCTACCTTTAAAGCAAAGTCTTCCTATGATCTGTTTTGTGCATAATACTTTTTTCTGACTCTTAATTAGGGGTTTTGGAGTAGTGGGTGACTTTTATATGCCATATATGCTACAGCACAGCTGATGAGATGAAAGAAGAGAGGAGGCTTAACTGTGGATAGTGTGTCTTTTAACTTAACCCTTGCCTTTAAATGTTTTTTTCCCTAATATTTTGTTTGTGCAGATGTTTTCCTGAGAGAAATAAAATGAGTTTTGCAGTGTGTGAATCGTGATTATTCTTTCTTTCCACAAGTCTCTTGAAAAAGTAGTTTAAATTTTTTTCATTTGAAAATGAAAATCATTTAGAAAGGATCATTGTAATGCCAGACCTTGTTCTTTTCTAGGTTTCTTATACAGAAGCCCATGTACAACGTGTCCAGTCTAGCTTATTGTTTTAACCTAAAAAGGCAAAGTGTGCGTAAGCACTATTCCCCTAAATAAGTATGTGCTATGTCGGTTGAAGAGTCAGTATTCACATGCGGAGTATGCCAGATCAGCAGAGAGCAGAAGGGTGGTAGGTGGAGAGTCACATCTTTTCTTGTAGTTTAAGGGAGTTTTTGAGATGAAGTTTCAAAGCAATACTAAGAATATAAATCCTAAACATTATCAGAAAATTAGATGATAGTCTGTACTCTCCTGCATTTGAAAAATATCTTGCCTATAGAATTACCAAGGCAGTTTATCATGGCTCCTCTGGAGCCACGCTGAAAGGTAGCAGCAGCAACTACTGATACAACTCTTATCTGTTTCATTGCTCCTTTTGGTCACTGAGGAAGCTTGGTGTACCATAGCAGGTCTGATGACAGAGTGTGCAAAGTGGGGGCCTGAAGAAAAAGGTTTATGGTTCCCTTCCAACATTTTGTGCTTTAATTGGTCTCCATTTCTCTTCAGTCATCTTCTGCCTTTTTTTAAACTGTGTAGAAAGTGATTCTATCAGGGCAACCAGGGAAGACCTTCCTATGGCTTGACTGAGAATCAGAACAGGGACTTCAGAGGGAGAGCCAAGAACTAGAATTATATTTGGGTTGCATTTTCAGTTATGTACATTGGGCAGTGTGGTATCGTAGAAGGAGAACTGAATTACAAGTCAGATACCTAGCTTCTAGCCTTTCTTTTACCCATTAATACCATTTGACGTTGGTCAAGTTCATATAAACTTCCTGAGCTTTGTTTCCTCCCCTTTAAAACAGAAATCATAATTGCCGTTTTTCTTAAGGGCTGTTGAGAATAATGAATGGTACAGTATTTTGTAAATTCACAAGTTCTATATACATGATTAGTTTTGTCATTATTTTGCCCTTAGTAGTTCAGTGATTTTTTAATAGCTTTATATAGATAAATATATAAGAAGAAACATAGATCTACTAAATATGTACATTCTTGTATGTGAGGTCAGTTACCTTGTAGAAGTCCTATAGCAAACTACTCCTGAATTTATTTGGAGGGGATTATGTATGTCATCATAATATCAGTTTGACATCATCTGTTCTCCCAAATGCATTTGTTCATATTTCTCCACTCATTTAAGTTCTATCACAGATATATGCATATTTTTTAAAAAGAAATCTGTATTTGCATCTGACTATTAAAATGTAAACCTAATTATTCTTAAAGGTCAGTTTTGTTGTTTTTTTAAACTATGACACCCACAGATAGTTTTTCTAAACTCATGCAGATTTTTAATAGTATAGTTCACAGTGACTGTTGTTTTCCTTTCCTGTTTGGGCCCATCTAGTAAGCTTATATGAACCTTGAAACTAATAAACATTCAACCATGTTGGAAGGGAAGGTGAAGAATTCATCAAGTCTAAGAAATGGTCTTATTTGGGAGGATTTACCTAGTTTGAACTAGTTATGTGACATTGGATTGGTCATTTAGGTTGCCCTGGTCTCATTTTCCCTGTATTTAAAAATAAATGGGTCAGGCTAATCTGTCCAAAAGTGTAATGGGCTGCCTCACTTGAGGTAGTAGGGTCCCTGTTTCTGTACCATGTCTTCAAGCAGAGAGACCAGATGGCTACTTCTCAGGGAATGTTGTAAAAGGACATTTGAGTTCAGGTATGAGTTAGACTAAAAGATTTTTAGGTTTCTTCCAAGTCAGATTTTTGTGATTCTGTGACAAATGATCTATAAGATTTCCTCCAGCCCCAGTATTCTGTACAATACATTAACTTTTCTCCCTTTGGTCCTGTTATTTTGCTCCTTCGTAGGGTCATATATTTATATCTGGAAGGACCTTAGACAGCAACTAATCCAGCTCTTGCATTTTACAGATGAGGAAATTGAGGCCTAGAGAGGTTGAGTGACTTGTGTAAGGGTATCCAAGTACTAAGTGGTGTGACCGGAATTTGAATCCAGACTTTCTGACTCCAAATCTCACTCTTTCCACTGTGCTGCATTGCAGAGAGCAAAAGGCATTTGAGTTGAGATAAATGCAGAGAAGTAGCTTTGACCAGTATTTTGGTGGTTAAAATAAATTATTAAAAGGAGGGTTAAGATTTTACCAAAAGACCAGCTGTGGCTAGGGGATCTGGGAGCAGGAGATTTAATTTACTGGTTTATGTGGTAGATGGAAGATACACAACTGATTGTTCAGTCTCCATTCTAATACTTTAGGTGGTGGTACCTCCCTTACCTGTTGAAGATGCTCATTTCACTTATGAATAGCTCCTATTCTTAGGAAGCTCTTTTCTGTTGAGCCTAAATCTGTGTGCATCATCTACTCCCTCATCCCCTGTTTTTTCCTACTTAGATGTACCTTTTGGATCAAGGCAAAACAAGTCTATTTCTAATCTCTTGTTCTACATAAGAGTCTTCTAAATATTTGAAATTGAGGACTCAGGTTCCCTGACTCCCTAGTCTTGTGGTACTCCTATTGTATCATATTGACTCCACCTCCATCCCACTCCTCAGATCCTTTCCTTATTCATCTCTTTTCTTTTCCCATCCCTTCCCTTTCCTATTTATAGTTACCTTGGGGAGAAGAATCTAAGAATGAGTAGGCATATATTATGAGTCCCCAGCTGGGGGGTCTAGTAATCACAGCACGTCCCATTGCTCTGGTCTTTGGTCACTCAAACAGTCAATAAATTTGGTCCCCTGATATGCCCAGTGCTGTGCATGGTGCTCTTGGGGGTACGAGTGAAAGGTCCTGTCCCTCAAGAAACTTATTTGGTTGGACAAAGAAGACTAACACATATGAACAATTAGCAGCAAATAATAGCATATAATCAAATACTGAGTGGTTCAGTATACAAGTATAGTAGAATTCAAGAAAGGAAAAGATCCTTAGGAATTCAAGTAATTGGAGAATCTTTCTGGAGCAGGTAAGTCTTAATTAGCCTCAGCAAAGACACAAAGAGGGAAATAGTATAACCTGGCAGGGAGAGATGGAAGATGGGAGAACAGCCTGACAGGAGCAGAGAGTGGATGCTAAAGAGGAGTAAGTAATGTAATTGGATTAGAAAGTTAAAACTGTACTGTGTAGGCCCTTGAAATCTAGGCAGAGGAATATGAGCTTCTATTTGGCAAGCTGTTATACGTTGTTGAGCCTAAGAAAGACAGAATGAAAGAAATACTGAAGACTAGTTTTCTAATCCTATTCAGGATAGATTAAAGAGAAGGAAAAGCTAGAACAGAAGCCCACCAGGGGAACTCTGGTAATAATGCAGACATGATATTCTGAGGGTAGGGACTAAGGTGGTAGAATTGATCATGGTTCTGCAGTTTGGTTTTATGTGTGTTTGAACATTAAGATTTATCTGTACTTGACTCTTGAGAGTAGATGGACAATTGAGACGGGGTGGGGCTTGAGGGTGGTAGAACAAGTATACATGTATATGGGAGTGAATGGTTGAGTGAATTATCAAGCAATCAGTTTTAGTGTCTGTATTAACAGGATTAATCCTTTTTGTTTCCTTAGGAGTATAAGCAGAAGCTTGCTCGGGTAACCCAAGTGCGCAAGGAGCTGAAGTCACACATACAGAGCCTTCCAGACCTGTCGCTGCTTCCTAATGTTACAGGTGGCTTGGCCCCCCTGCCCTCTGCTGGTGACCTGTTTTCAACTGACTAGGACACATGGCCTGCTCTCAGATTCCCATTTGTGCCAGCAGAAGAGGACTCTAGCAGGGACTGGAAATTGTCTTCCAGTGATTGGTTATTTTCCTCCTAGACCACTCCCTCTATTTAGGAAGGAACTATAGACTCCCAAGAGCTCTGTGCACTCTTACTGCTTGTACAGTTTCTCATGTTGAGGGGAGGAGTGAGAGTGTGCATTAAGCAGGAGTGGGCATGGAGGCCAAATTTGATTATAAACTATATAGACACATTTTGAAAGAAAAACTTTTTTTCTCACATTTTCATGCTCAAATTGTTTTTCAGTTCTTAGCTCTTGTTTGCCCCAAGAAGTCATGAAAATCATGTACACATCTGGAAGGCTTTTTAAAAAGAATTTAAATTCATCACTACATCATTTTCTTAGGAAAGCAGCCTTTTGTTTCTGAATTGGTTTTATCCAAGTTAGCTGAGGGTTTCACAAATTTAAAGAGTAGCTTTATCAGGGCATCATCTCATCCTGAAGGAAAAACTAGGGATCTGCAGAGCAGCCTGGGGTCTGAGCAGTTTATCAGATCTATAGTTTTTTTTCTTACACCTATGAGTATGTATATGCAAATGTTAGGCACATCTTATTGCAAATGAATTAGAGACTGAAAATAGTAATGAAATCCATACCCAATTCAGAAGAATGCTATTGCAGCAGACTAATAAGAATCACAAGTTACATAAGCATGAGTTAAAGTTGTCAGTTTCAACCCCACCCCCTACATATTCCATTTTTATTGATTGCATTTATCTGCACTTTGCCTTTGTATCACATTGATGTAACAGGTTCCTGGAAATCTATTTCACACTCATTTTTTTTAACCTGTCAGTATGGGGGAATGCACCAGTGATGTTCCAAAGATAAAGACTAGCTGACTTCACAAGACAAAGTATACTGAGAATGTGGGCCCTGGGATGTGTTATAGCTTTAGTACATTACCTTTTTTTTTTTGAGGTGGAAATGTTCTGTCTGAGATGAAGGGTTGTCCACTGTATAGGTAATTAGCTTAATCAAAGGGCACACATTTCAGTGTCTAAATTTGAAGTCTTTTTCATGTACTGTGTACACACACACACACACACACACACACACACACACACACACACACCCCTCTCTTTTTGCATGTTTGTGAATCTATTGATCCATGCCTATATGTGTGTGTATCTGTGTGTATCTGAATATATACACAAGAAAAATATGCTAAACTTTGCATCAGATGTGACTGAATAGCTGATCTTGAGGGGAAAATGTGAGGTTTTTTTTTAAACTCAAGTTTTAATTCCATTATCATGCCAGCCAATAGCTATAACTGTCTGATGTGTTTAGATGCAATTTTTGTATTGCTTTTAGTCACAAGTAGTCCTGCTGGCAAATTGTAAAGCATTCCAGTCTGCAGACTTTTTAAAAACCAAAACAAGCCATTAGAAGTGGCAGAAAACAATTTGTCCTAATAATGTAATAGGAATTGTAATACTGACACTTAAGTATTATTACAAAAGAGGGATAAGTCGTAGGAAACCTCTGCCTCATTGTAGCTTTAAGATGCTGTTTGAGAAACACAACTTAAGACACTCTGTTGATTTAATAATGGAAAGCTTTTTCTATGTCCCGTGTGTCTAACTCATGGGACATTTTCATTGGATGAAACTTCCAGCTTCCCATGACTTTTAGAGCAGTAAAAGCATATAAGGCATGTGATTGAACTGTATAACTTGTCAATCTGTATTCTTTTAACTTTAAAATTTTGAATAGCAACCATGTGCTTGCTTATTGGTGCTTCCTATCAGACTGTCATTTAGTCTTTTCCTTTTTGTTAAACTTGCAACTCTAAATTTCTCTCCCTGTAGCTATGGGGGCAATTGACCTTAACAGAAATGCTACAAGTTAGATTCCTCTGCTATTGACACTGTATATTGTCCTCATCATGCAGTGTCATAGCAAAACAATATCAGATTGCCCCACATGGATATTTGCTTTTAAGCAAACACATCTTGAATGTGTTCTGTGCTTTTGCCAAAAAGAATCTCCACCAGCCACAAAGCAACCCCAAAGAGGCCTAGTTTCTGCCCTGATCAGCTAGATCAGCTAAAAATTGAGAGCACAATGGATTTTTTGCCCATGGCCAGATTTTATTTTACCAGCAACTGACTATATGATTATTACAGGAAAAGATAAACACCCAAGACCTTTATCAATTATGTGAACAAATGAGTGTTGAGATAGCCAGACTGTTACTTTGGGCAGACTTTCTGTGAGAAAGTTGGAAGTTTATTTTTTAATTGAAATACTTTCCATTTTTTCTCATTTTTCTTTCCCTTTCCCTGCTTACCCTCCTCCCACCCTGCCCCCCTCATGTTATTCATTTGTTTCATTAATTTAAATGAAGTCTTCTGTGTGTGTATGTGTGTGTGGTGGTTTTTTTTTTATTTGTTTGGTTTTGTTTGTTGTTGTTGTTGTTGTTTTGTTCTTTTTTTTTTTGGTGGATTTTTTCCCCCAAAGGGATTCTATGGACCTTGAAGAAATCTTCTTGAGGTCAGATTTTTCCCAGGTTGTCTTTTTTTTTTTTTAAAGAATATTTTTAAAGCTTAAATTTGTATATTAATTTAGGACTTTATTTAGAAGTATAGGCTGCCTTTTGTGGTAGCAGTATATTCTGAAATGTCTCTCATAGATATATATTTTTGAATAAAGAGGGTGTTGTTGAATGACCATGTGTTGCCTTTTTTCCACTGCCCTACCTCCCACAGAGGAGTTTGGCTTTTGTTTTTAAGGAATGTGATTAGTAATCACCCATAGAGACTGCCTATACTGAATCCTGTCTCTGAAGAGCTTTTATAGCTGTTAGTGGCTCATAAATGCTTAGCACTCAGATAGTGTTTTTTGTTATTTTCCAAGGGCTTAATTATCCTTGATTAGTCAGTCCACACAATACCCAAGAGAGGCACTTCCATAGTTTAGCCTCATTGTGAAAAAGTAGAAACTAACAGAGAGAAGTGGAATGACTTCCTCCATCTCCCGCCCCACCCCCCCAGTACCTGGAAGCAAGCCTGAGGCCCATTAAAACCCTGATTCCAGCTCTTGTTCCCACAATAGGTCTCCTAGGGGTTATTCAGGATTTCTCATGTAGAGAACACTTCTTTGTACAGGTATAAGAAGTAGAATGCAAAATAATTTGCAAGCCCTAGGGTTGTTTCCCCATCTCCCACCCCCCAACAAAAATATTTTCTTGTTTTCTTTTTGCACTCTGACTTTGGCTTTTACCTTTAATGATGTCCTATTTGGTTGGCATCACTAGATATGACTTTGTAAACCTTAGCAGAAAAATGTGGATTCGAAATAGCTAGATTGCTTTGGAAGGGCCTTTGTTAGGATTGCCTCAGCCTTTCTGCTAAGGGAAATGAATGTGCTTCAGGCTGTATATTCTGTGTTTATTATACTTCATCCTACCAGGTATGTTGGTGTGAAGTTATCAAGGGTTAGGTAGTTTCTGTGGATAGTGAAATATAACTCCACGTGACTAAGTGACTCAGAGTTTAATCTAGAAATGGAAAGCAGAGATTTTATTGCCAACAGATCGATGACTACAAGATATGACTGTTACATGAATATCTTAGTTGAGACATGTTTCCTACAAGCCTTAAGCTAAGCATGGTCCCAAAGTTCATGTACTGTTCACTTTGTCACTGCCTGTAGATGATGAATTTATTATTTTGATAGCTCAGTTAGCATTTGAAGCTACAAAAGTTTCTAAAATCTTCATTCCTTAAAATGGAACCATGTAAGAGTCTGTGGATCTGTTAAAATGTAGAAGCAGCCAAGTGTGGTGCAGACTAGGAAACTAAGGTTGAAATCCTAGCTCTGCCACTAACTTATTTACGATCTTGGAAAGCAAGGACCCCTTTAGGACATTAGTTTCCTCATCTTTAAAATGAGGGGGTTGGAGTGAGTAGATGTCTCTAAGATCCCTTCCAGCTGTAAATATATGAATTTATGATGGATTTGTGTTTTTCTTTGCATAGTAGTATAAGCCACTGTCTTGCTGCACAATGTTCAGTTAAATCACTACCCTTCTCTGGATCTCAGTTTTCCCATCTGTACATTGAGGGGCTTGGACTAGAAATTCTTTGAGGTCCATTTCAGCTCTGACATTTTATGATTCATTAGCTTATGAAGTCTTGCATTGATTCTGAGGAGTGTAGGATTATGGTCTTGGAAACTTTGCCATTGTAAGAGTGTGTGTATGTGTGTATATATGTGTGAAATCCCTCAAAAGGAATATGAAATAAGAGGTTATATATTAAACACTATGGTTCCTTGACTCCATGTAGAATATAGATTTGCCTGGAGAAAATTAATCTGCAGAAAAGGTAAGTTCTAAGTAGGGGGGAGGGGGGGAACAACCAGATACTTCTTTCTTTGGTCACTAGCAATACATATGTGGTTTATTGGAACCCTTGAGCCCAAGTTTCTGTTCTCTATCTTGTTCTTTCTTAGGGTGATTCATTAGACTCAACTCATTTCTCACCACCACTACCACCTCTGTGGGATTCTTCACTTAGAAATCATTCTTCCACTCTAAGGTTCAGGTTAAATTAAAAATCCATTATTTTCATACCACTGATTACAACTGACCTCCTGAAATCATAACGTTTGGGGAGAAGCATACAGCTTTATGTTGAGCCTAAAAAACCAATTCATTTCATTCTTTAGACTTCATGTAACCTTGTGGCATTAAAAATATCTTTTCACTCATGGTTTAGCAAACACTGAAATTAGCAGTATGTTAAGAGGGTTGTTTTTTTTTTTTTTCTTCCTGAGAGAGTTGCTACTAACTGTGGTGTAGTGGAAGGGATGCTGGTTTGAGATTAGAGCAACCTGGGTTTGAATCTTAGCAGTCCCACTCACAAGGTGAGTGACCTT